CGCGCGCGCGCGCGTGTGTGTGTGTGTGTGTGTGTGTGTGTGGTGCGCGCGCGCGCGCACCACACACACGCGCGCGCGAGAAAGAGTTCATTACGTCAGACGATGCCGATGTGTGCGCGCGTTGGTGCATGCGTTGTATGTGAGCACGAAAACAAATTGTTGACAGATAATTTATCCGAATCGCGTTAATACGCACGCGCTTGCGTCGCCGCGCTACAGGAATGTGAGAAAGAAAAAAGCGCGGGGCGGAGAGGATAAGAGTGGAACTGTTTCATAGCGACGCGAGATGCCCTCTCGTTACACGAAAGGGAGAGGGGAAGGAATTGCACGATACCGCGAGAGTGGCGAATGGAGACGTGGATCACAATATGGCGGTTGGCGAGGTCGTGCCCGGGACAAAATGGCGACGGGTGGAAAGCTCTCGACGGAAAACCACAGCGATCGATCCCGTCGCGCTCGCGCCGACCTGATTCCCCGCGCTCGTGCGTCGCGTCTGGACAATGACACTGAAATCGCAAACGCTACGCCACTAAACGCGGGAAATACGCGCATCTCACCCGTCATCTTCGAGAATGACGATTACACGATGCGGATCGCGGTGATGCGACGCGAGCTACACGCGAGACCTCACGACGTCCCTCACGACTCGAAAACACTCGCCATTCTATGGACCCGCCCGCCGCGCGCCATGTCATCCGCATTCTCCGCACAATTTCCCCAAGCTCGAAATATTCGATCCGAGAATCGCGCGAGCCCGTTTCCACGATTACGTAAAACGTGGTCACTCACCTAACAAGGGAGATATAAAACAATCTAATATCACAGCAATGGAGTCGGTGAAAAGTAAAACAGCGTGGAACGTCCAGGCCCGGCGTCCGCCTCGTGCGCTGCCCTTTTCAACAATGGCGTAGCTCAACGCCTCTTAGCTCAGCCGCCGCGGACCGCCGTCGGAGGGCGCAGGCGTCCGAAACCGCAAGCCGAAGTAAAACGCGTCCCGGAGCGAGCAAGAAGGAAAAACAGGAAAAACGCGGCGCGCATGCGCACACGCGGAAACTCGCTACTGCGACGTGATTGAGAATAACGAATCCCGACGCCACCGAGGCCAAAATACGTTTAAAATCGTTTCAAACGGATTAGGAATTGAAATTGGATTGGAATTTGACCAATTAGAATTCACGAAATTTGAGATTTTTTTTTCTAATCGATCAAATATTTCATTCTTATTTCAATTCTAATATCTGTAATCTGAAACAAATTTTATAGTCAAGATTCGTTATTTTTTGATGGCTGTCAAAAAATTCGGCATTCGATGATCCTGACAGGATTTATTTTTTACAGGTCTTCGGAAAGACGAGATTCTCCAATGCTCGGACCAATAAACGCGTCCCGAAAATCATCAAAAAAGAATGAAAGCTGAGGCGCACGTACGCCGACGCGTATCGATTTTCAATTCCATATTTTATTGCGCAAGCTCTCCTCGCCTCAACTTCACCTCAATCGAAATGACGATTTTAGAAATTTGCTCGAGGCAATTTCGAAAGAACGATCGGATGTGACTTGAATTCATCGCATCACACTGAAATTTTCAAACCTCATTTCCATTTAAATCATAACTTATATAATATACTGGATAGCACAAGTTACAGCATGGAGAAAAAAAAAAAAACAAGTTCAATCATATTTTCTTCTTCCATATATTTCCGGAAAAGTGAAAAATTGTGATTGATCATTGTGTGCTTACGAGAAAATAATTGTCAAATGGTACGAAAAATTCGCGTTGGTAACAAAAATTAGCTTCGCGTTACAGTTTTATCTTAATTGAACGATAATTATGATTGCATAAATCATAATCATTATATACAATCTATTTAATTTATGATTTCTAATAGCAAATAAATTTATTAATTTCGAACTAATTTATTATTCTATTAATATATTAATTATTCTATTAATCAATAGAATAATTAATATATTAATCTATTAAAAAATATTAATTTCGAAAGCACATTTTTGAAAAAATTTCATGATAAATAGTACTAGTAGATTCTTAGTACTTTAATTCAATATTATTTTTATCTATACTATATATATTTGATATATTAATATTAATTAATTAATATATAACGAAAATATATTAATAAATATATTATAATAAATATATAATTAATAAATATATTAATAACTATAACATTAATATGTTAATAACTGATATTAAATGATATTAACTAATGATATTAACTATTAATAACTATATTAAAAAATGATTAATATAAAAAATTATATAGAAAATTCTAAATTCGTTCCACATTATGTTTCTATCGACGCAAGCGACGTTTGTTATTCCTCGTTTGTTATGGCATAGCTCGTAACGTTACAATTCTGTTTTATCATCGTTGTTTATTTTTATTCCGTGTTTTAACCACGAGTATTTTAACCGCGAGTAGATATATAAAACAGAAACGGAATCCGATCGTATAAATTCCGAGCGTTGATTGGAATGCCAATAAAGACTGTTTAATTGCCGTAATAAAGCAGAGAGAAACCGCTAAGGTTAACCGTACGCCCTTTTGTCTCAAGTTTTGTCGTTACGGTCCTTTACGTAATCTCAGATGCGAGACGGTCTTTCGACTTGTATCTATCTTTGTCTGAGATAATCAAAGCAAACAAATCGAGCGCGCGAGAAGATAGATTCGATCGCGATATCTTAATTGTTATTACGGCATTTCATTATCAAAGCGATAAACGAATATCTCGGTGGGGCGCATTGAAGATCTGAAAATTTTACGTCGGACGACGTCATGGCGGACGTGTCCCGCCGCTTTTCATCCCGGCGCTACAGTCATGGCCGACGCTTTCCCGAACCTCTCATAACGCGACCTCGATCACTTTTCTATATTTAGCGATCGTCGACTCGACGAAACGCCATCCATAGATACAACGCACGCGCGATAGATAAGTCAAACATAACACAATAACTTGAAACGACAAATTGTTGATCGGTGCGCCGCAATCGCCGATAATCACATGATAATAAAGGACGATTACGTAACGAAGAAAAGATTAAATTCCTCCAGCGTCCTCTCCCCCCTTCCTCTTCAACCCTCGCGGCGATGCGAGGCCATCGCTTACATGCTCGATTAAACACGAAATTTGCACACAATCGCGCTATTACGTTTGTCCCCTGCGTAATTCGCGGATCGACCGATGTTTACAAATACAAAATAAGGCGAAACGCGCATCGCGTGCTCGGTCGTTCACCGAAATTGCAAATGCAAATATACGATTACCTTCAAGACGGAGACGCCCGCCCGATCGTTCGTCAAATCGCGTGACAGAGAGAGATCATAAATTACGAGAGCTCGCGTTCGCGAATTCGTGCCGCTGTACGATTTTTATTGGACGATAACTCGGTTTGAGGTGCAATAACCTCCGTCCGCGAAATTTCTCGTCGCAGCATCGCGGATGGTCTCCCACGTGTGTGTCGGTCCAGATACGTTCGAGCGAGCACGTCGGCCCGATCTCTCGAAGACCGCGTCGTCGACATCGGCGAGAGACCGGTCCGCGCATAATCTTACGCGTACCTACGTAATGGCCGACCTCGCCATTCCCGAGCGAGACAAAATGGCGAAAAACTCCCGAAAAAGTTCCGGGAAAACTCGTTCGAGCTCTTCGCAAGTGATACTTCGGAATCTCGCCGAAAACCGCATGATTTCGCAAGTGCGGAATGAAAATCACGCGGTTTTCCATGCCGTCGGGGAGAACGCGAGAACTCGGCGACGCGACATGGCGGAGCGCGACCTGATTTTCCGGTAAACTTTCCACGATGAGAGGACCGAGCACACGACGCGAGGGACATCGTTTATGCGAGGGAAAAAACGCATAAACGAGAAAAACAGACTGGATTCCTTACTCACCTATGTATTGGCACAGTCTAAATATCACAAGAGGACGAAACTGGAGGGGAAAACTACGCGTCCACTCCTCAGCGTTCACTACTCGAGCGTCATGGGTCCTTTTTACACAATGGCCGTGCCGCGGTACGCGCTCATACGATCGATCAGTTTCTGCGAGAGGACAACGCCAGAACGCACGGAAACGGAGCTCGCCCCCCGTCGCAGTGCTCCCAGACGCGGCGCAGAACCCGCCAATTCGCCTTTTGCGCATCGCGCAGGAGGACATTGGCGGGGGGGAACGAGAGAGAACGGTCCAGGAACGTCGCGCGCGAGCGTCACGGGCGCCGGCGACGTGTGACCGTGTTTCCTCGTGCGCAACTTCGATGATGATGGAAAATACCGAGACAGTCGCGTCTCTCAGAAAGAGAGCGGAACAAACGCTCCGAATAATAGACAGCAGCAGATCCGAAAATGACACGTCGAAGTTTAGGTATTTTACTTTCTTAAGTATTCTGTTTGTCTATCTTTGATTTGTGCACGCAAATCCCGCATGCTTACTGACTTAATCTAGAGATTCTTATCGCATTCTATTTACTGTTCTGAAGGGAAAATAGAGGACTTTAAAAATGTTAATCGAAAAAAAAAAATAATCTCACTTCCTTTAAATCGGTTAAAATTTAAACGAAATGTTTATGTAGCAATATAGTCGCAGTAATTGAACAAATTTACTCATGTATAAAATGAGAAGATTCGTTATTCAATAATTTTGTAATTTGATTCACAAAATTGTTTATATGAAAAAATTCTCGAATACAAAATAAACTTCGAGCAAAATTACATAATATTCACGAAAGAGAAATCGATATCCGTTCCTAATGCAAATTAACTTTGACCTTGATTTACTCTTTATATTAATTGTAAAAAAGAAACTAAAAAAAAAAGATAAAAAGTAAGTTAAGCCGAGATTAAAGTTAATCTACATCGTGATGGAAATAGACGTGGACTTAGAACGTATTTGAAAGTGGTGCCCTCTGGTACTTGGTTACCCGCGCGCTTTCGAACATTACGCGCCTGGCGAACGACGCTACGTCGCGCTATTGGCATGGGGTGGGGGCGCGCAACGCTCGAGTGGGGACTGGTGGTGGGGATAAACAGCCGGGTTTCCGTTCTAGGGCGCGTTCGTGGCGTAGCGCAGCCGGCGCGGGAGAGGCGAAAAGCGGCGCGCGGGAGAAGTGGAAAGCCGAGAAGAGAGAGCTGACGAAGGGAAGAATCGGGGTCCACAACAAAATCGCTTAATCGCTTTGCGCCACCGTCCGCGACGGAGCACGGCCCCGTCCGTCGCCGCCACCACCACCGCCATTGCAGTGCCCCCTAGTGTGCATGCATGCCCGACGCTTTCTCTCTCTCTCTTTTTCTCTCTCCTTTCCCCTTTCTCCCCCTTTCTCCTTTCCGCCGATTCGCTGCGCCTCGATCTCCGTCTTTCTCTCCTTCTCCCTCTCCCTTTCCCTCTCCCTTCCTCGCCTTCTCCGGTCTCTCCCGCTGTCTCTGTCTCCCCGTGATTCGCTATGCCACTTCGGACCGCGACGTTTTCACGGGCAATCCGTGAGTGACAGCTGCCAGTGGCCAACGCGGTGCGTGCGTGTCTCTCGTAGATTGGCACGGCCGATACCGGCTGTGCGTGCGTGACAGTTGCGTGCGTGCGTGCGGGCGTGTGTGCGGGCGTGCGTGCGTGCGTACGTGCGTACGTGCGCGCCAAGTACGCTTGACGAGAAACCGTTCTCGTTTCGCGCCCTCACGTCGGTGTGTATCATCTGATATATAACGAAAGTGTGTGCATCATCGACACCCTCTTGAAGGATCTTGGAGTAACACGGGATTGGCGATTACCAGCGGTTCCCGGACCGTCGTTGCTGCTCCTGCTGCTGCTGCTGTCGCAATTTGATTTGTGGGTCAGGTCATGGTGAGGTACGTAACAGTCACGATCGAGCATGAATCCCCGCGGAGATTTGACGTCGTCGAGACCACGTTGCGGTCCTCCTTTCCTCAAACGTCATTCGCATCATTCGTAAATTACTCGGTTTCTCCACGAGTATTTGCATCCGCGAGCGCGAATGTCACTTTTTATTCGCGATGCGCTTAGCCATGAAATTTATTTTGACGCTGAAAGCGAGTCTCGCGTCGTTCAACTGGCACCACGCTTCCGAGCGAAGCGTCCTGGAACGTACGGCGCGTATGCTCCTTTTATTTTTCCTTCTTTTGATTATCAATAAGGCCACGTGCTTCCCGGGCAAGTGCGCCAGTCAATGAGCCAATTGCGAAACGCGAACGGGCGACAATACCGCGCGTCGCGCCTTTGTGTGCGAAATTACGTGCGAATTTACGCTCTAATGGCATTACAAATGTGTAAGTATTATACTTTCGTGCCTGTAAGAATCTCCAATTATCAAATTTAATGCGACTATAAATATTGATAATTTCAAATTTCTCAAATCTCTAAACCAATGAGCTAAGATGCATTTATCGCAACTTAGATTCGACTTACACGATCGCGAGAGTTACAATTCACGAAACAAGGAAATTTATCTATTTTTGAAAAAAAATGGCGTACAATTTTTTACAAAGAAATCTGAAATGGCTTTAAAAATGAAAATCCTTCGTAATTATCAGATCGACTCGGTCAGGCGCATGCTTTTCTAATGCGCGCATTAATCCTCTCATTCGAAACGAGGTAAAAATCGACAGAGCCGTCGATTTCCCCCGTTTTTCCTTTCGCGGCCGTAGACGCGAAGCCGCATTGTTTTGACTTCGTAACGCGCCCAGCTGGACGTGCAGCGCTAAACGTACCTATTGTACATGTAATATATATATATATATATATACATGTACGTATAAACGCGCGCGCGTGACACGATCCGATGCACTTGTCGTCACTTTAAAAACGACCTGTCGAGTGATGCTCGTGCTGATTTAAAGCGAGGTTCTCTCCCGGAATAAGGACGCGCGCGCGCGTCTCCGCGGCCACGCGGTTTTCGGCTGTTCGAAACCGCCGTGTCACCCGTTACGGTAGGTCACGTGCGCGATGCACCGGCCAATAATCGACGATTACGAACGCGCGGGATGCATTCGGATGCGATGGCCGTGGCGGAGCGACCAGAAGACGCGCCTGTCGTCAAGACGTTTCTTCCCGATGTGATGAGTCCAGAAAAACCGCGCCGGAATACCAGAAATTATATCCGGGAAATTTTTCTATTTCTTCTCATGGAAACATTATTCTGGATTAGAAAGGTAGATTGTTGCAATATGTAAATGTTCAGGGCAGTTAGGTAGGAGTTTCTTAAGTATAAAGAATCTGTTCTATGTATGTGTATTTATGCACTAAGTCAATTTGATTAAACATCTCCACATGGAGGATCTAATTAGTGAAATTCCGTGTGGAATTTCTTTTTTCCTTTTCTTCTTTTTCATTTACGATGAACCGGAACGGCGTAATAGGTGGTCATCATTATTTTAATTTAATTCAATTATGTCCATCAGCTTGGAGGTGCGCAAAATGTTTCCCTGTATTATTCACACAACCCTGACACGACCGGCACTTTAATAAATTAATACGATTTAATATAAATTATAATAAATTAATATGAATTAATATTGATTATAATAAATTAATATAAATTGATATAGATTCATAGTTCGGCATTCTCGGCGACATCCACGGCATCAAGTTTAACAGAATTTCTTCGTCCCTGTTAATACGATAGACCGACTTCGACGGCAAGACGACATCGAGAGATATCGAAAACATCGATTTCACAGTGCGGATCAATAAGTGTTCCCGGCATTATTAGCACACTTCTCGTCCGTCTTCTCCCGTTTCGCGTTTTCGTCGACAAACTCCGCGTTGATTGTCGGACGATCGTCGTATTTTCCTGTCAACGATCACCGTCGTAAGTTGGATCGCGTGTCGATTGCCGTGCGTGACACGATCGACGAAAGGCTTGACGGGAGCGTTCGTTTCATCATGTATACGCGCGTGCGGTAAACGGGTTTATCTCGATAATTAAATGACCGTCAAATACGAGAAAATCGTCGATGATTGATGGTGACCGATCGGCGAAGTTTCATAGTCGTACCACGACTATCTCTCTATGCGCCCTCCCTATCTCCCTGATACATTGACAAATTTGTCACTGCCGCTTCATAAGAACTTAGAACTTTTGGTACTTAATCGTCCCTAAAATTCGCGACTGTCTTTTTATTTTAATATCACCGGTAGTATAAGTAAAATTGCTGTCGCCTCTTGATCGAGATGTTTTAACATTTTCGTGTTTAAATTCGCGTTGAATATTATTGAAAAAATTGTCCATAGAAGATATTGAGAATATTGAGCGCAATTTTTTTTTATAACTCTGCGAACGATATACGACACGGCCATATAAAAATGTAGTTTCGGTCCGCGTACGCAAGCGTGAACGCTTGTAATCGACTCGATTAGGGATCGCTAGTTTAACGATGCACGATCTTTCGTCTCACGACGAATGGTTCGTGAGGCATCCCGCGAGATTTTCTCCGCGCGCAACGGTTCGCCTATACATCGCGCTCGCGCGGCGCCGATGATAAAGAGAAATGCTGCCTAGAAAGCAGGTCTTGGCTGAATCTAGGCCACCCTGATGATGGCGCGTGCACATTCTCCACAATTTTACTGTTCCTTCTCTCAGCCTTGCCTCACGTTCGTTCCCCGTCGCGCGTTCGACGGAACAACACCTTTTCTCTATTCCTCTTCGCCTCTCTCTCTCTCTTTCTCTGTCTCTCTCTCTCTCTCTCTCTCTTTCCCACTCTATTCAATCTATCTTGCGCATATTCTAGCCTCAGTCTCTCCCCTCTCGTTCTTCCCTCTTTCTATTCCCTCTGCCTTTCTCCTCAGCCTCTCTCCGCGTACGTCTCCTCTCCTCTTCCATCGATCGCCTTCTCTCTTCCTGCCTCTTTTTTTCCCCACCCGACACGATTCAAGGATCGAGTTCCGGAGGACGACCAGATGCGAATCGGCGAAAAAAAGAGAGGGAACGCGAAGATCACGGTACCGTAATGCCCCATGCGCGCGCGCGCGCGACGACGACGAGATTTACAAATTGCAAAAGCGAGAACGAGTCTTCGCCGCAAGTCTCTGTCTCAATAGCACGTTCGTTCGTAACTTTGTTTGTGAAATGTGACGCGATGGTGATGGGTGGGCGTATTATGGGATGTTTGACTTTGCCACGCAATACGAGGTCTCTTACGCTGCCGCGCAATAATGGGAAGAATTTTCCAAGGGAGAGGCGAACGATCTTCTTTTCGTTTTTCTTCATTTGAACTCTGAGCTTAAACATATCAATGCGGTTTATATTAAAGAAATTGTTTAATTAGCGTGAATTTTGCACGGCTAAAAGGTTCTCTGGCAGTTGAATATGACAATTTTTTCAATAAGAATAAAGATTAAAAAAAAAAGAAAATAAAATATAACCTAAAATCAGTATAATCAAGCCGTGATACACGTGCGGACAATTCAACATCCTTCTTTTTATCTCTCATCTTCTTCTTTTTATTATCCGTTTCTGTTCTCTCCTACTTCGTCGTTCTCTTTTCTTCTCCACTTCTTGGCCTTCGGACTGACTCCTCACGGGAATCTGCGCAGTTTCGCCGTCACTGTCTAATTTAAATACGATCACCGTACGATCGTTCGCGTATACGCGAGCGTAATTGAATCAAAGGCGCTTTTACATTCAAATTTTTTTAGGCCGATGCGCTTACATCCTTTTCCCGTCCCGAAATTTAGCGAGAAGTCGCCGGCATCATCGTCGAGCGAAACGATGTGGCGGCGAACGTTTTCTCGAGAGCGGGATCTCGCGTGTGTGTATGACTGACAGTGGGGCGATCGAGAGCGACCTAGAAAGGTTTCAAAAGACATTTTCCCGTTCACCCACGTACAAAGCCGCCCTCTCGCCGCGGGAGCGTAGAGCCGTGCGACATGAAACCTCGCGTACGACGATTGAGACGAGGCGCACGTACACGCATACGCGCACATGTACGTACAATAGTGACGAAGAGGACGAAGGCGGCGCGGAACGATGAGGAGAGGCAGAAGAAGAACGGCATGGAGGGTGAAGGAGGATAGGACAAGAGGTCGTCGGAGACGAGGGGGAGGACAGAAAGGAAAGAGAACGCTGCTTGTACGTGTGTGCGGCGGACGCGTGTACGAATGTGTGTTTGGCTCACGTACGTGTGGACGTGAATGCGTGTGTAGTGTGTGCGCGCGCGCGCGCGCGCAGGAACAACGGAAAGTACGGAACGTAATACGGAGAAAACGCTGGTAAAAGGAAAGAGGCCCCTCTGCCTGCCTTTCCAATCGAATCGCCCGCCCCTCTCGCCTTTGTCATTTTCTCTTTGTCCCCGTTTCGGGTCTTCGTGTTCTCTCCCGGCTAAGTCGTCGCTGCGGCCTCTCTCTTTTTCGCACGGTCTCTCTCTCTCTTCCACCTCTCACCCTCTCTCTTTCTCTCTTTCTCTTTCTCCCGTTGCCTCTCCTCCACCCGGCTTCCTGTTCGTCCTTCCCGCTTCGTCTGACCTGCGCCTGACTCATCCAGAAGAACGAGAGAACTTCGTCGTTCTCTTCTTCTCTCTCCCTCCCCACATCTTCACTCCTCTCTTCTCCTCACATCTCTTCTACCCGGTATATCTCGGACGGGCAAAAGAGGGAAGCACAAAAAGAGCCGTGCCAGAAGGAGAACAACGGAGGGAGACGGGCATGAAACACTTCTCTTTCTTTGCTTTGCGCTCCGTGTACCGTTTCTTCTCCCACCCTTCTCCGCCCTCCCTCCTGCTTTGTCTCTTCACCCTCTGACTTCCCCCAATACCATACCAACTAACCTAACCACCCTAACCTTCTCTCCTTTCTTCCCTTGCTGCGTTTCGATCTGCCTTCGCCCGCGCCTCGT